TGCCTCTGGAGATTGCAGAGGATGTGCAGATTGTGAAGAAACTGCTGGCGGATTTCATTGAGAAAACAGGATCCAAGGTGGCCAAGGAGTTGCTGGACAACTGGGCCGCATCGCAGGCAAAGTTCGTGAAGGTCTTCCCGTACGAATACCAGAAGGCGCTGCAGGACATGGCCGAGCAGCAGGCGGTGGAGCAACCGCTGAAGGCAGCGGCCATCGAGAATGGCAATGGCAAGCACGAGCCGCACATCAAGGACATCGAGGAGGCCATCCAGGATGTGGCCCTCGAGCAGAAGCGTGCCGATCGTGTCCTGGACAAGACGCGCGGCTTTGTCAAGTACAAGCGGGAGACGGCACCGTACCGGGATGCCGCCGATCGACAGCAGGACTGGAATGAGGTCTACAACTTCCCGCATGTCCGCAAGAACCTCAAAGTGCAGGCCGCCCGCTGCATGGAGTGCGGCGTGCCCTTCTGTCAGTCCAATTCCACGGGCTGTCCGCTGGGCAACATCATACCTAAGTGGAACGACCTGATCTTCCATGGCGAGTGGCAGGAGGCACTGCGCCAGCTGCTGCAGACGAACAACTTCCCCGAGTTCACGGGACGCGTCTGTCCGGCACCCTGCGAGGGCTCCTGTGTCCTCGGAATCTCGGAGCCGGCCGTGACGATCAAGAACATTGAATGCGCCATTATTGATCACGCCTTCGAGCAGGGCTGGATCAAGGCAGAGATCCCAGAGGTGCGCACCGGCAAGCGGGTGGCCATCGTGGGCTCTGGTCCCTCGGGACTGGCAGCCTCTCAGCAGCTGAATCGTGCGGGACACTTTGTGACCGTCTTCGAGCGCAACGATCGTGTGGGGGGTCTGCTCCAGTATGGCATTCCCACCATGAAGCTGTCCAAGGAGGTGGTCAAGCGTCGCGTGGACCTCATGGCCGAAGAGGGCATCGAATTCCGCACCAATGTGCATGTGGGCAAGGACCTGAAGGCCGAGCAGCTGCTGAAGGAGTAAGTAATCCCTTCGCCACTGGCCATTGGAATGCCGCTCTAATCTTTATGGTTTCCCCTGTAGATATGATGCTGTGCTGTTGACCACTGGAAGCACATGGCCCCGTGATCTGCCGCTGGCCAATCGTGACCTGAAGGGCATCCACTTTGCCATGGAGTTCCTTGAGGCGCAGCAGAAGAAACAGCTGGGCGGCAAGCAGGACATCATCTCCGCTGCCGGCAAGGATGTGATCATCATTGGCGGCGGCGACACCGGCTGCGATTGTATTGCCACATCGCTGCGGCAGGGCGCCAAGAGCATCACCAGCTTCGAGATTCTCCCAGAGCCGCCACTGAAGCGAGCCGAGGATAATCCCTGGCCGCAGTGGCCCAAGGTATTCCGCGTCGACTACGGCCACGAGGAGGTGAAGCTCAAGTGGGGCAAGGATCCGCGTCAGTATTGCACCACCACCAAGGAGTTTATCGGCGAGAACGGGCACATCACGGGCGTCAATACCGTCGAGGTCGAGTGGACCAAGACGGAGACGGGCCAGTGGCGCATGCAGGAGGTGGCCGGCTCTGAGAAGTACTTTGCCGCCGATCTGATACTCCTGGCCATGGGCTTCCTGGGACCCGAGAAGACAGTGTCCTCGGAGCTAAGCCTCGAGCTGGATCCGCGTGGCAACATCAAGGCCACCAATGGACAGTATGGCACCTCCAATGGCAAGGTCTTTGCTGCGGGCGGTATGTACTTGGGTGTCTCACTGGAGGGATCTTCTTTGATTTTCTATATGCTTTGGTTTTATAGATTGCCGGCGTGGACAGTCGCTGGTCGTCTGGGCCATCACCGAGGGTCGCCAAGCAGCCCGCCAAGTGGATTCCTATCTGACCGGGCGCATCAGTGGCCTGCCAGGACCCGGCGGCGTCATCAGGACCTCCTAAGAAGGAGCACCAACACCGGCAGCAGCAGCAGGAGCAGCAGTCACTATCAAGTTTTGTGTGCGTGCATCGTCCCTTAGCCTAGAGAGAAATTCTATACCGATTGCAATTTGTGATTTTTATTTTCGCGATTTTAGTTTAGTTAACACTAAAAACAAAAAAAGACTTGAGTTTTTTACACACCAAACCAAAAACGAAAAAAACAAAAACGATCATCGTTTCCATTTAGTTTTATTTTATGAATTTTCTGGCTGGGGACAGAGTTTTTCTCTTCTTTTCCTTTGTTTTCTTTTCTTTGAATGAGAGAGATGTGCCCTCCATAAGATGATGCTGCGTGCGCGGCAAGAGTCAATTAAGCGTGCAAAATGATTGAAATGAATGAGCAGATTGAATATCAATCGAAATCCAGAAACCTATATCGAATATCCAACAACAAAAAATCTAAGGACAATAACTAGAAATTTACCGTTACCGTTATGAAAACAAAAACAAAAAACGAAAAACCAAAAAAAAAATATGTTACAAAATGCATTATTTTTCAATGTTGTTTGAGTTTTGTGTTTGCCTGTTTGTAGAAATTGGTATGCTGATCTCCATCTACATATATAAAAGATATAAACTATATACAGACAGACAGACAGTCCAGACAGACAAATGTATTAAGCCCGATATCGTAAAGCATTTTTTGTAGATGTTGTTTGTGCGTGTTTTGAACTACAACTACAACCCGACCGACCCAACCCGACCCTTAAACTGCAGAAGTACCTAAATGGAAGAAGTGAATGTGGTAAAGTGTGTCCTGTTTGGCAGTTATATGGAAATACCACTATTTATACAACAAAATATATATATAACCCATCTATATACCCTAAATATACATACATCTACATATATGAATATATTTATGTGCAAGCATTTGATGAAATAAATATTCAAACTATTGAAAGCATTAATTCAGGAAAGGAATTCAGGAATTAAAGGAAATAAGGTATATAAATGTTCATACACATGCATGCAGCTACTTGGTTGACCAGCAACAATGTCGGAATGTGACCGCACTTCACACTTTCGTTTTATGCTTTGGCCGTTTTTCTTTGAACGCTGTTATGTAAACAATCCAATGAAAAGGAGTTCGGAAAACTATCCAATTTGGATTGGATTGGATAAAATTATATGTTTACGGCTGAGAGGGCTAACTAGCTAGTAATATTGGACCGAATATCAAAATTAAGGAATATCAACGTATCCGTCAGTATATTTACGGTATATGTTGATAATGACATGGTATATTTCGATATATTTTTGAGGGTCGGTATATTTTATTGACAAACCCGTGGTCACACTGTAAACGGTTCTTTTCCAACACTGTGCGTCGCACGCGTATTTTTCTTGTAATTTTGCGTGGAAATTTCATTGTGAAAATAGTCAAAAAACATCCACAAACATGGCGAACTTTGATCTAACACGCATCAACTGTCAATATTTGGATCGGCATCTTACTTTTCCGCTGCTGGAATTCTTGTGCGGCAAGGAGGTTAGAAAATTTTTGCGGTGCCGTGTCACCAGCGCCGCAGCACAGTATAAATTGCGAAGTGGACAGTCGGGGGCGGGGCGTGGAATGTGCATAACTAATGGATAATGTTTGGCTTGCAGATCTACAACCAGCAGGAACTGTTGGAGTACATCCTGGAGACGGTGAACAAGACGAACATGATTGATTACACGATGGATACGCGCAAGCGTCTGAATCTGAGCCAGGAGATGCCCGATGAGCTGGTGCAGCGCAAGGCAGAGGTGCTGGCCACGCTCAAGCAGCTGCAGAACGAGGTGGCGCCCATCATGAAGGCCACCGACATTCTGAAGAACGGCGAGAGCATGAAGGACTCCAAGACCTTTGTGAATGCCCTGCAAAAGGATTACAATTTCAAGGTGGAGCATCTGGAGAGTGCCTACAAGCTGGCCAAGTATCTGTACGAGTGCGGCAACTACCAGGAGTCCACATCGTACTTGTACTTCTGTCTGATTGTGATGTCGCCCAATGACAAGGTAAGGGAATCGAATGAATCGGGATATATTATGAATTATAATTCAATTTATGCTTTTTGCAGAACTATCTGAACGTGTTGTGGGGCAAGCTGGCCGCTGAGATTCTGACCCTCAACTGGAACACTGCCCTGGAGGATCTGACGCGTCTGCGCGACTACATTGACAGTGCCAACTTCTCCACAATCCAGGCCCTGCAGCAGCGCACCTGGCTGATCCACTGGTCCGTTTTGGTCTTCTTCAATCACCCAAAGGGCCGCGATCTGATCATCGAGATGTTCTTGTACAAGCCCCTGTATCTGAATGCCATTCAGACAATGTGCCCGCACATTATGCGCTATCTGGCCACCGCCGTTGTGATTAATCGCACCCGTCGCAACGCGCTCAAGGACCTGATCAAGGTTATCCAGCAGGAGTCGTACACGTACCGTGATCCCATCACCGAGTTCCTCGAGTGTCTGTACGTGAACTTTGACTTTGAGGGCGCTCGCCTGAAGCTGCACGAGTGCCAGACAGTGATCCTCAACGATTTCTTCATTGTGGCCTGTCTGAATGAGTTTGTGGAGGATGCCCGTCTGATGATCTTCGAGACATTCTGCCGCATTCACCAGTGCATTACCATCAGCATGCTGGCCGACAAGCTGAACATGAAGCCCAACGAGGCCGAGTGCTGGATTGTCAACCTAATACGCAACGCCCGTCTGAATGCCAAGATCGACTCGAAGCTGGGGCATGTGGTGATGGGCACACAGCCGCTGAGTCCCTACCAGCAGCTGGTGGAGAAGATTGACTCGCTGTCGATGCGTTCGGAGCATTTGGCCGGTCTGATTGAGCGCAAGAGCAAACAAAACAATAAAGAATCGATCGACTCCTGGAAGTACTACTAGAACACACATTAGCTAAGCCACACTTTTGTATCCTCTCCCCCCTTGTATCCCGCATAAACCACAATGATTGCGCATAATCGAGCGAATAAACCAACATCCCATCCATTCGCAATTGTCCGATTTGTGAATCTTCTTTCTATGCTTTGTACTCGACGTCGAATCTAATTTTATTTCCAATGGAATCTATTAAGTTACATTACGAAAACAATACCAAGGCGGGAATTTTCAATTTCACTAGCCTACACACACAGAATAATGCAAAACACTGTCTAGTCCTATAAATAATAGCTGGTTTGTACGGCCATTGGCGGTGGCGGCGGCTGCGGATCACACGATTAATTGCTACCGCGACTTATGCTTGACCACAAGCCACGATCGTACGGGCAGATCCTGCAGATAGACGATCCATTTGTGCACCAGCAGCACCCAGATGATGCCATACAGCACACAGAAGAATGACTCCAGATAGTAGCCATCGAAAGTAATTTCACATTTACCCTGCGACGATTCACAGCTCTGAAAGGGCAAAAGAATAGTCAGAAAACCGCCAAAGATGTTGGATAAACTTCGGCCGTACCTGTTGATCGCTCTTGTTGAGGCAGGTGTTATCCGTAACGGTGGTGCACTGCTTCCAAGTGAGCACATCCACCAGCCAGAGCACCACCGTGTTGGGCCAATTGCCGCCCAGATTGCACAGCGTATTGAGGAATGTCATGTATGTGCCCCCCACAGCGGGGTCTGAGATCTTTGCAAAGAAAGCCATGGCCGCCACAAACATTGAGTAGAGGAACACCTGATAGCAGGCATAGAGAGTGATGAGAAGGACATAGTAGTACACTGGGACATTTCCCTTCTGCACCATAAAAGGTGTGGCATAGGCGAAAATTGTAGCCACGGCGGCCAGAAGGATTCGATATGGTATGGCCTTCACATAAACATCCATGGGACGCGGTCCGTTGGTGTAGCGACCCATCACCAGGGGCAGGACGAGCTGCAGGGGAATGAGGGGGATTGCCAGCAGAGCCAGCTGATCCTTGGGCACACCGGCATCGATGAGCTTCAGGCTGGTCACCGCATCCGATGCGGAGAAGGTCACCTTAACGGTGAGCAGAATGGCGCCTAGGATCTGCACCGGGCGCATCTTCACCATGTCCCACAGGATCTTGTAGCTCTGACGGATGTTTAGCTCGTGCTCCTCGGTGTAGCGAGCATCCGTGTGGGCATCTTCAATGTCGTTCTCCTTCTTGAAGATTGCCACCAGAGTGGTGGCCACCACAAAGACAATGCCCCAGAACCATAGGAAGCGTGGCAGCGTGATCATGCCTTCGTTCAGGGGCACATCCCTCATGTACTTGTTGCAAAAGTCCTTCGATTCGAGGGCAATAAACACCACATAGCCCAGGAAGTAGCCGGCAGTCTGTCCAACACTGTTGCAGGTGGAGGCGTAGCCCACATTGCAGCGCTTTAGCATGGTCAGAGCCCAGCCATCGACAGCGATATCCTGCGTGGCCGCCAGGAAGTTGAGCAGGAAGAAGAGCAGCGACAGCAGCGCCACATTCGGCTCCACACCGTCGCCGCCCAGCCAGCGATCCACGAAGTAGGAGAGGAACATCATGAATCCGCCCAGCAGATACTGCACCGGCACCAGCCACGACTTGCGACGTCCGAATCTGCGCACATACAGCGAGTCCACGATGGGCGCCCACAGCAGCTTCAGACTGAACGGCCAGTACGCAAAGGAGAACTCCGCCTGCTGCTTGTAGCTGGCGCCCCGATTCTGCAGCAGCATGGGAATGGCGGCAATCAGACCGATCGGTATGCCCTGCAGTATGTACAGGAACAGCAGGATGGCTATGTTCCGTCTGTCTCCGCGTATGTCCGGCGTTCCCTCATCCTTCTCCACCAAACCCTCGTTGGGGTGTGGGTAGTCTGTGATGAGCACGCTCTGGTCATCGCCCGCACTGCCGCCCTGCGTCCTCCGCCGTGCTGTAGACATGTTGGTACTCTGCCAAAAGGGGTACCAAGCTGATTTCAATCTAGATAATGCATGCACATGTCGCCCTCACCTGTTTCTAATCTTTCAGGTCCACGTCAGTGCAATGCCGAAGGTTTTTAGATCCAAAACGAGTGTAAGTACTGTTGTTCTCTTGCCTCGATATTTAACTAAAAAAGGTGGATTATTTCTATGCACTTTGTTAACACGTTCATTTTCGGTTTCGCCTAATTTTTGAATTTTTATAGAAAAAATCGTGGCATACGTTTTTTGTTGATGTTGTTGATGTCCCACGACTACAGCTACAGTAAAGCAGCGACGCCGGCAGCGCTGCCTTCCTCGCTGCGGTGATATATTCCGCGATTTTGATATTCGGCTCAGGATTACTTTTTAGCTGTAGCACTCAGCACCGATTATATAATTTTCGACGATACATGAATCAATTTCCTAAAAGATCTGTTTATTTGAAGTAGTCATTTTCCATTTGATTATTCATAAAATTGGGTTTAATCAAATAAACTTCCATCAAACAATACTTTTTTACATAGTAACTACACGATAACTACACATATTTATGTAAATTTCGGAGATTCGGAGCTGGATTCAAACTGGAATGGCAAAAAATGCACAGAAATTCACAGAAATTTTTATATAAATTGTTGAAGAAAAACTAGATTTAGATACCTAACGATCAGGAATTCGATGCTGAGCACCAATTAGTATTCGGCTATAAATTGCAATTCTACATTGGTTCATTGGACGACTGGAACCGGTTTCGATAAATGATTCAATACAATTACACGCTACGCTACATGGTCACACTCGCAAAAGCAAATTTAAACTGTGCCCGCCCAACCAAAAGTTTCTGGTGTGCAAAGAGCTATTTTTAGATTGGGATACACACTGCGATACTCCAGTTGCTTGACTTCCCATGCCCACAGATAAGGCATTGTACAACTGGGGCATGGCATGTACATATATATATTCGTACAATGTGTATACAACACATTAACATGCAGATAAAATTCAATTTCCCCATATCTCCACACAAAACACATTCATGCAGATTGAAAAAAAGTGCATATTTAATTCGCAGCATTTTTTGTTTTATATGTAGTAATTAATTGAATTTTCTGTTTCGTTTGCTTGGCGAACACATTCAGATATTTCATTATAATTAAAAGTAATTACGGATACAGGCTCCAGAACCAATTGGGTGACTACACAAACAGGCCTGGCTGGCTGGCTGGCGATCATAATCATCATCATCATCACCGAACAATTTCCATTTCCAAATACGATTTCAATATGCATTACTTGAGTAAAACTGGTTTCAGTTGTCGCTCTTCCAATTCAAGGCAACATTTGTGACTGCTTTTGTTTGCTTCTATCGCCTAGCTTAGAGTCTAATTAAGTAAGTGTTCAATTGATACTTTAATGGCTGGCTGTTTCTGTTCTGGTCTCTAATTCTGTTGTGGTTCCTCTCTCGACAGTATGCTTTCGTTTTCATGGTTATTGTTGGTTATTGTTTTCCCTCACTGTGTTGTTGTTTTATATTTCATCTCGTGTGTGTGGCGTGCTCCAGTCCAATTAAAGTCCATGGAAGGCTGCTAACATTTATTCTTTCACCACCCCTCAAACACGCCTACTTGGCGGGCGAGGATCCAAACACGGGCTCCTCCCATTTGTGGTGCACCTCGGGAGTCAAGTTGCTTATCTGCACGTGCACGGCCTGATGTTTCTCGTACTTTGGTGGAATGGCGCACAGACGATATTTGACCTCATCCCCGTTCATGGGCACATATTCGCCCTCGATGCTAGAATTTGTTTGTGGAGCAGTGAGCAAAACGTAAAACAGTGACCGAAGGTTAAATGTTAATTATTCAACAACTTACTCGGAAACATGGCAAAAAACGTCCTCGCCACCGGCGCTGGGGATAATGAAGCCGTGTCCTTTGCTGCGGCTAAAGGACTTTACCACGCCGGTCACTACTGGGTTCTCCAAGGCCCGAGCCGAGCTAAATATGTTCCCGTTTTTTTTTTTTTGTTGGGTTTATGTTTTGTGTTTTGTGCGCGCGCAAAAGCGACGGATAGGCCGGGCGGATGTAGGGGAAGGAGAGTAGGAAGAGACAATTAAATCAATGCCTGTGAAAGGGAGCTGTAGATGTGGGAGATGGACTTACGTCGAGGCCGTGCGTGTGCGTCGCGTGATTATGGGACTCGGTAGCTGCAGCGAGGCATTCGGGCTGTGGCTATTATGATGATGGAACACTGGCGGCTTGGCGGAAAGCATCTTCTCGGGTGTCTTTGGCTCGGCCATGATTCTCTTTCTTTCAAGCGGAAGGGTTCTGTTCTTTTCTTTCGGTTAGTAGAGCAGCAGTTGCAGGAAAGCGGCTTTCGTGTGTACGTGTGTCGGTGTGTCGCGGCGTCACTGCATGGACGGCTGCCAAGTCTATCGAGTTCAAGGCCAGGAGCGCAGAGGGTTAATTGCGTTGTGTTATATTTGGACCCACAATGTCGCTTACCAATCTTTTCGTTTTGGAAAAGCTGAGTGAGAGCTTTCTTACTTTCTTTCTAATTAACGCCTGTAAATGATTCACAACTGTAATTGGAAACTTTCTTTGGCTTTGGCGGCGACGCTTCCTTACGCCCACCAATACTGATGCAATTATTTGCCGCGAGGCGAAATGCCGGTTGGCCCTTGACTTGGATGCTTACTTTAACTTTAAACTCGCTGTAGGGTGTTCACTGTACGTGTCGTGGTTGCGTTCCGCTCGTTTGTCTTGTACTTTTACCGATTTTAAATGCCCTTTTTTATTTTTTCAACAAATCGCGGCTGCGAAGGCGTCCAAAGTTAGAGTGACTGTTTCAACGTGTTCGCTAAATACTGAACGACCTGCTATCGATACTTTTTAGAGTTAAAACATCGATACTTTTTAATGAATATTGTGAATATCGCATATTGCCCTGCTCTGGTTGTTGTCGAAATTGAAAAGAAATTCTTAAAAATACAATTTCTTGATAATATTCTATACTGCGCGCAAGTTCCTAATGAAATTGGAGATAATCAACAGTTATGAGCGACCTAGAAAGTGACGAGAGTTTGGACGATGGGCCATTTCCGGATACGGACGAATACGTGGATACCGAGGAGGAAAGTCAGGAGTCTCTTCAGCCCGTTGTGCGACGCCAGAACTGGCAAAGAATTGTCACACAGAATACCGAACCTTCTCCAGGAATGGCGATGTTTCACGGGCTGGACGTGGAACTGGAACAACTCCAAGCGCTTATTCCCCCAGAACTAGCAGCATTGGCAGCAGAAGTACCACCGATGGAGCGCGGGGCCGAAGCTCAGCAAGAGGCTGCGTCAGATGATGCTGCAAACGATGTGGAGACTCTTGAGGCAGAACTGCAAGCCCTGGAGGAGAATGAGGAGCCACAGCCACAACCTGCCAGTCCGCCGACCAACTCGCGAAGAGCCCAAGGACAGGACAATATCATAAGTCTAGACACACCATCGCCGCCAAAGAAACGCAAGCGTCTATCCGCTGCAAACACAAGCCTGAAGAAGTCGCCCGAGTCGACAAAAGCCCCAGCGCCACCACAAGAGGACGAAGACGATGGTCTTACGTGTCCCATCTGCCTGGACTCGTGGGAGATGAGCGGAGAGCATCGACTGGTCTCTTTGCGCTGTGGCCATCTGTTTGGAGAGGCCTGCATACGCCGCTGGCTGGCCGAAAGCCAAAGACAGTCGTCCGTGAAGGTGTGCCCCCAGTGCAAGACGAAGGCCACCTACAAGGACATCCGCCACCTGTATGCCAAGCGCATTCTAGTGGTGGACACCGAGATCAGGGATCAGCTGGAGGGGGAGCGCCGACGGAATCACATCCTGACGACCGAGCTGTCGGCCATAAAACTGGCCCACTACGTGACCGCCGATAAGCTGCTGCAAATGACAAAGAAATACGAGCAGCTGGTCGCCATGACCGAAGGAACTGGGGGCCGTGGAGCCTACTCCCTTCTGTCGGGTGCCACGAAGAAGAGGCCCATCCAGCAGCTGCCCATGCATCGCCTGTACATGGAGAAGAACTTTGAGATCACCCGCGACCCCGGCTGCCGCGTGATGCACTTCTCCGGCAAGCACTCGCTGCTGATGGCCAGCCAGAAGAGTGGACAGAGCCTGTTCCCCGGCTACGGAGTGCGCTTCATCGACCCCTTGACCTTCCAGCCGTTGCAGTTCCTCTACACCACGGCCATGATGGTGCGGAATATCGCATTCAGTGACTCGAAGCATCTGCTGGCTGTCTCCAGTCGCGAGTCCAAGATCAAGCTCTTCGATGTACGCACCAAGCTGCAGTCGTGCATGGTCACGGCGATGGATAAGACGCTCTGGGCCTGCGGCGTGGATCGCAACGAACGGGAGAACTTTCTCTATGGTGGGGATCTCCGTGGCGGGGTCTACATCTATGATCTGCGCTTTCCCGATAACATTCTCGGCCAATTCCAGGCCGATGGTGGGTACCCCTACACATCCATAGTCTATTCCACAAGCCCTAATGTTGTGCCCTTTTTTCAGAGAACTTTAGTCCTGTGATACACATCGAGGCTGTGCCCCCGAATAAAACCTTCCCGAATGGGGGATTCCTCGTCTGCCAGCTGTCTGCATTGACCTTCTACGAGTATTGCACACCCGGCGAGGTGGCCGTGCCCACGCGGCTCACTGTCGACGGCCCCTTCCTCTCCATGCAGTATGATCATGTGCAGGACACTCTGCTCATTTCGGCTCGCTGCAATCCGAGTTCCCCCAACTCTCGCTTCGTTCTCGGCCAACTGGACAAGATCGATGACATGCCTGTGCTGCGTGTGAGGGTCACCATCTATGGTCCACCTGCCACGCCCATTATGACACGACCCACACAGCTGGGCGTCGAGGATAACACCCTGATCGTTGGCTATCTGCAGGAGAACAAACAGCTGATGCTGCACGATGTGCGACGGGAGGAGCGTGTGCAAACGATGCCCGTGAACGAGGTGATTTATGACTTTTGTCCAGTGAGCAACAACAATGGCTCCTATCTGGCAGCCCTCACCGACAACAAGTGTCGCGTGTACAAGCTCAATAGCACGGGTGGATAGAGATGGAGGATGGATCGGAGGAGCATTTTCTGTGAAAATGTCTGCCTCAATTAAATGTTTTAAGTTATAGTTCTTAATTCTTTCGTTTATTAAAACATTTATCAGAACATAAATCTAGATGTAATTCCATGTATTTTCACGCATTTACTTTTTACTCATTCTTTTGATTCTGGATTTCAATTGGTTTTTTTTTGTTTTGTTGTTGTATGTGTGGATTGCATTATATTGTAGATGTGTGTCTGTGTGTGTGTGTGTGTTTTTTTATGTTCGCATTTTGTATAAAATGTTTTTTGTTCCATACGATTAATATACATATAAAGCTATACAAAAATTGTGTTATTCATACGAGTATTCATTATACATAGATATAGATATACATATATGTATGTATATATCTCCCAAAAAGGCTGAAGAATGTATGAAACGATGAAATGATGATACTTTCTGAAGAACAGTCTCTCGCGACAAGGAAATTGTTTACAACAGAATTCCCTCTTAAATCTTTTTTTGTGTGTTTGTTTTATCGAAAACTAAATCTAAATGAGTTGGAAACCAGAACCGCTCCCTAGAGTGCTCACTGAATGGAGTGGTTTGGTGTTTGGTTTTCCTATAAAGTTGGTATCAAAAAAAGTTGTTCATCGTTGGTCATTTTTTGTTTGTTTGTTTGTTTGCTGCTGTTGCTGCTGTTGCTTGTCGGTTCTCTCTGGCATAAATATCGTATCGTGTATTGTATATTTCGAAGAGTATTATGTATATTATGTTTTGTTTTATTTCTAGATACGGTACTAGAGTTAGTTCTTGAGTTGAAAGACGTGTAGACTATACTTTTCAAGTATAATTTTAATATATTTTTTTTTGTGTGTGGTTCGTGTCGTGTCGAGTCGTGTGTGTGTGTGTGTGTGTGTGTGTATGTTAGATTAGAGAATACGTTTAATCGTCGTTTATGATATAGTATTATATGGTTAGAGATACATAAGATACTTAAAGAACTTCGTAACTTAAATTGTAAGACAACTAAATATACAGTAGCGACAGAGAGCGACAGATGGCGAGAGGGAGAGAGAGAGAAAAGAGAAATGTATCTTTTATATAAACACTAGAGTCACTTAGAGGCTAAACTAAATGCAAAACGATTAGCTCCTACAGCTAACAGGAGGAGCCAGAAAGGAGCAGAAGGTGTCGGGCATTCATCAGGGATTCATCTCAAAACGAATCCCCTAGACAAAATGCAGACATCATCCATTTACAAGAGTCAAAGAAAAAGGGTTGGGAGAAAGGCTTTTGGATGGGGATGGGGGTGGGGAGTTCTGCTTTTGGTTTTTCTCTTAGTCGTCGCCTCCTCCTCAATCAATGCGCGCATAGCGCGGCACTATATCCTTGCTAATCCAGTAATTGCAATGCTCGTAATCCTCCTGCGGCTGTGCATCCTGCCCCACATTGATCACCCTTCGGCGTGGCTCAAACGACTGCACCGTGCCATGGGACACATAGTAGTAGAAGAGCTGCTGCATGGCCGACACATAGCGACGCTGCTCCACGGTGTGTGGCTCATAGCGTCCCAGTATGGCCTGCACATCGGCATCCACTGTCGCCAGCTGATCCACACCCTCGCCCTGGGTAACCACATAGAAGGGTACACTCGGCTGGAGCCGGGCATTCGTCAGCAGCGGGCAAACGGTCCGTATGTCCGTGATGATGGACACCAGAGCGGCATAGTTCGTGGCATTGTAGCGTTCAATCACCTCATCGGTGAGGCCGAGGGCTCCAATTTGTGAGTTGTTCAAGTACTGGCGTACCTCCTCCTTCGTCCAGTTGGCGTGCAGCTCGCGCAGCTTCTCGGTGTGCGCCTCATGGGCGGTGGCTCCCACAACCAGCAGCGGCTGCTCGGTGGCCTGGTCACGCTTCCACGACTCTGAGGGATGCTGGAAGAGCACATCCCCATCCAGGACCAACCACTCATGACGGCTGCCGCTGTTGATCTCCTGCGGCTGTGGCAGATCCTGGGGGAAGTGCAGCCAAGTGTCAGGTGTGGCGGCCCACAGTTTCTCGCTGGAGGCATCGCGCAGGCACTCCACATCGATGCAATCCAAGGTGACCATCAGCTGCTGATTGAGCTTCTCCGCCTCTGCTAGGGGCTTTCCGGGGAATATGGCCGATCCGGAGGAGGACCAGGCGCGTGTGTACAGGTCCTTGAGCTTGGGGGAGCTCACCAGCGCAGAGACCAGAGTGGCGCCCGCACGATGTCCCAAAAGAGTCACCGACTTGGGATCTCCACCAAAATTAACGATATTCAATTGAATCCACTTCAGGACCGCAATGATATCCGTGAGCGCGTAGTTGCCGGAGGTCCTAGGATGCGCTTCCTTCGTAAGCGAGTCCAAAGCGAGGAATCCAAAGATGCCCAAACGGAAATTCGGGCGCACAAAGATCACATCGTGGGAGCGCGAGTAACGGGCCGAGGGACGCAGTATGCCAGGCGATGGCCCCGCCAGGGACTCGGCTCCAATGAGCACCACCACGGGCAGAGGATTCGTATAGCGCACATGGGGCGTAACCACATCCAGGTAGAGGCAATCCTCATCACCCACAGTGGTGCCGTTGCCCAATCTTTGAGTGCACACGACGCTGCTGTTGTGCGTCTGCAGCGTATCGTTCCAGCAGCCATCGATGCTGTCTATCAGCTGTGCGGAACGCCAGCGCAGCTCATCGACGGGGGCCTTGGCATAGGGAATGCCACGGAAGGCAAAGGCTCCGTCCTCTTTGACACCCTCCACGGGTCCGCAACCTGTGACCGCAAGAATATAGCGACCTTCGCGCAGTGGGGGAGAGGTCAAAGTCTCGTGTGTCAGCACATAGCCAATCACCGCAAGGAGCAGCATAAACAGCAGGATCCCGAAGACAATCAGAGCATCATCCACGCTGCATTTGTAGCCACGAAGGCGCCGCAACAGCGATACAGGACGATCGCGTTCGTCCTCTTCGGCTGCCAGCTTCTGTTCTGCGGCCAGTTTCTCGTCCTTCAGTTCGCTTTTGATGTCATCCGTGCCATTGGCATTCTTCACGGGTGCACGGTCCACCGTGTCCTGATCCTTGAGTGAATCATCTAGAGTCTCCATCGAGGCGAGGCCTGCTTTGCCGCCCAAGCCCATCTCCACATCGTCGCCGTTCTTTCGCTGCTTGGGGATCATATTCGCAATCGGAAGTTTGATGGCATTCAGGAGTCCTCGCTTTGGTGGCGGATCCACGGCAGCCTCCTCCGCTGCGGCAGCCTCGGCAGTGGCTTCTGTAGAATGGAAATTCAATGTCATTTCTGGGGGAAAAAAAACTGGATAAACATGACATACCCGACTTGGCATCCGCATCTCCATTTACGAGCGCCTTCTTCTCCTTTTCGGCTCCCGGTTTTCGCACAAAGAAGCTGCGCAGACGCTGCCCCAAGCCAGGACGCGGCTTGGGCTCAGCTGCTGCTGCTGCTGCAGCGGCATCTCCATTCAGCGCAGCCGCCTCTTTGTCCTTGTCTTCTGCATCCTTCTCGAGCAACTCTCCTTCGGCACCGTCGCCCTCTGCTTTGGGTTTGTTCTTCATAAAGAAACCTGGCAGCTTGAGGCCACCGATGGGTATCTTCTTGGGCTTCACCTCGCGCTCTTCCTTGCTGATTTTCTTCTCCTCTGCTGCTGCACCGCTGCCCTCCACTGGCTGTGGCTTCTCCTTCTCCTCGGGGATGTCAATGATTTCGTGTCCCTTCTCTTCATTCGTTTTTTCACCCACAGGCGACTTCTTGCCTGCATTGGGGGTGGCCGGCTTCGATGACTGGGGACTGGGCGTCTTTTCGGTCTTCTTGGTGTCCAACATCTTGTCCGTCTCCTTGGGCTCCTCCAGCGTCTCCTGCTGTGCGGCCGTTGTCTCAGTTGGCGGCGTTTCCTTCTCCTCGAGTTCTCCCATTATTGTTTGTTCGCACTGATTCTTTGGCTCTCAAGATTCGTTTTAGAGAACTCTGCGAGAATTCTGCAACAAAGAAAGGCGAGGGAATCTTTAGTGCAAGTTCTTTTTGCCAGCGAAGAGCAATCCTTGGTGGCAGGACAAACCTGTGACTTAGTTGCTGCCACTAACTAGGTTAAACTTTGGTTTTACTGCTGCTGATCTTTGTAGTTTCTACGTCTCTCTTCGAGTATATTTCGGTTTTGTTTTATTTTAGGAATCTACGATCTAAGATCTATCACGATCGCTGGCTGAAATGCTTCTAGCTGCCGCTGCCGGCTGCCAGCGTTCTTTATACCCTCCCCGGATTCCAGTGATCCTTTCCATTTCCATTTTTCAATAATTTTCTCTACCTGAAAAGCGTACCTTCTGCTCGTTTCTACTCAGGTAGAATCCTGGAAAATCGCTCAAATTTCCATTGCAACATTCCGGTTTCCCTGAGTTTTTTTTTTTGGGGCGGGAAGACCGCAAATTTATTGAGGCGACAGCTGCGCAAGGCGATCATTTTGGTTTCTGATGCCTGATCCCTGTCCCATATCCTAGATCCTTTTCTTTCTTTTATTTTTCTTTCTGCTTTTGGTACGTGCGCCTCATCGAATGCTGCCCTTTCACACGTTGCACGTATCACGTTCTACGAAAACGTCCTTTAATTAGCGAAAACCTATAAAATCAACGTCGCATCGGACCAAGGACATTTTGGTCATTAGGTAAAGGTAACGCCGCCGCTGCTTTTCGCAGCGGGCTCTAAGGATTAGCGGATGTTCTTCGGTAGCAAAATCACGTCTGCAGCTCAGAAATGGCCAAAAGTCATGGGAATTACTTATGATAAAAAGAGACCGAAAACGTTGAAATTGTGACTTTTGGTTAACGTTTCTTTTTTTTAATGATTTGATCGTTATAATTGCATTAGTCTAGAGACATAGGCTCGGGGATCATTAGGCAGAAAAACCAGAAAAAGTGCAAAGGAAATGGCAACTCAAGCAGACAAAATGGAGTCCATGTAAAGAGACATTAATGATTGTTTCCTGATTTTTTAATTTTGTCCAAGGAATCACTTATATTTCGACTTTAAATCTTCTTTGCAATCTCATTGGGAAAGTGTATCCTTCAAAAGGTAGCAACCCACTTAAGCCATTGATCAATGTTGGGCTACAATCAATACTCACACATTTCCTTCAATCAAAACCATCATTAAAAGCTTATCAATGAAGAGTATGAGCCTATCAATGGATTTCATTTAATTTCCTAGAATCTCATTCGCCCTCCCCCAATGACACACTAAACTATAATCTCCACGCACTCATTCTTGGGGCATCTCCAGCCCAGACTTTTTACAGCCCCCACTCAGTACTACACTCATTATTTCCCCGTTTTCCACACGCATGAAAGCAACACAAAAGATATGGAAAATGGAGGGAAAAACGATGCCAGGTCTCGACCTTTGCCTGGCTCTGCTGTCATGTAAATCAACCGAAATTCCATTAAAATTTGAACTTTAAGTTCAAAACGCATTGCGTGTAATAATCTGTTGGACTATTATCACCATATTCTCTATGTATTCTTTGCTTTTTCCCGCTTTTCCTCTCTCTCTCTCTCTCTCTGAAGAAAAGTGTGTGTTTAAAGTGGAAGGAAAATCGAAACCAAACCCACGCGCAAGAATCGAGCATCGAGAATGGTTGTTGCGTATCGAAAGTGAAAAGAGTGTCACATGTGTGTGTGTGTGTGTGTCGCACTCTACCCTGCTCGAGTGCGAGAGAACACACAGAAATCCAATTGAATCGGATTTCAAAGCATTAACGACAATGGAAGGATGGAAAGGGGAGCAGATAAGTGTTGTCTGGTTCTCCGATTCTCTAATTCTCTGGCCCGAAGTGCAGACACAAGTCATGGGGGCCACAAGTCTATGTTCTATGTCTATAAGCCCCTCTTCCTTCGCTTCTGCTTCTGCGTCTCCTTCTCCTTCTGCTGCTAAACAGAAATGCAGGTCAAAGTAATTACAGTTCTCGCTGGAAAATGGAGTAGCTTCAAACATCAACGAGTGTCTTCTGCATGCCACTAGAACAGTGCGTTTCAGCACACCAGAAATACCAAAATAAATACTTTTTCCTTATCATAAATCCTCTTCGTTCGTGTCATTACAAATTAGCATCCTTTCGCTTATGGGCAAATTTTAGCAGCAAAAAGAACGGCATTCCCGAATGCTATCAATGGAATGGAACAGGTTTCTTAGTTCTCCATTTTTCCATAAAAGCAAGCCTCCTATAAGTTCTTCCTTGGATCTTTAAGGGAGAGAGGGAGAGGTTTGGTATTTTCCCTAAAATTTAACTTTCCAAAAGATCCTTCAGGAAATATGTCACTGTATTTGATACTACCATATCTTATACTTTTGAAAGGCACTGTCCTTTCCATACCCCAGCCTCTTTCTCACTTTGGCAATTGCAAAAAGAATGTATTAATAAACTAAATAGATCTTTCTCTGTCTTTTTCTATAGAACAAGAGCTTAAAGTGCAATATGTTTAACGTCTAGCCACATTTTTGTTAATTAGCTGAGAATGAGATCGTTTTTGGTGTCCATCGGCGGGGGTCAAACAAACAAAACAACAAATGAACGCGCCCAAAAAGACAATGAAAAGCGGGTAAAAGCGGTACAAAAGAAAAGCGTTCCCTGTTGACACGCACTCCCCCATAGCCCCTCCCTCACCCTCTCTCGCTCTCTTTTTCTATGTGGCATATGTGACCGACAGGCGACGCAAAGTTGGCTGTCTGGTGGCTGTGGCTGTAATTTGTCTTGGCTCGTAAATTAAATCAAATTCGAAACTTGCGTTTGACATGCAATTTCCTTCCCCTCTTTTTGACTTCCTTCTCCATGTCCTAAACTCTACTCCACCCTCTTTTTCCCACTCTCTCTCTCTCACTCCTTCCCACAGCTTTCCAAAATTTAATTTCCTTTTTTTGTGTGTGGGAAATTACCGTAAAAACATAAAAAATTGACCACAAAATGCCCAGGGATACGCTTAAAGAGCATTTACAGTGGGCAAATGTGGTGGAAAAATGGAACATAAAATACATATTACAATATTAAGGTAAATGAAACAATTCTCTTATATATTTTAATATTCCATGCTGAAATATTTCTGATCTCTTATTTGTAGCACTTTGATAGCTTTTTGTCCCACTGTTGCTAAGCCGAAGAGCATGACGAACGGTAATCCCCTCTTGTTACCACCCCCCAAAGCCACGGGTAAACCCATGTAGATCCCCGTAGCTTAGGCGCAACAAATACATAAATTCTCGTAGAATATCTCTGCCATATCTTGCGGACATGTCAGGAACCACTTTGAAATGCATAAAAATGCAATTGCTTTTGGCCATTTATTCTATTGTTTCATGAAGAGCGGGAGAGGGGGGTGTGTTCCAGGCGATAAGCCCCCCTACTGTGAGTGAGAAAGCGACAACTGCTACACAAGTTTTCAGTGCTAACTGTCATTCAAGACGCAACCTGTGTGTGTGAGTGTGTGTCTATCCCTCACTCTCCCACTCACCCACAACAAATGGCAGCGAAGCATGAAACGAAAAGGTGAGGGGAGGTAGGAAATGAGAATGGAAGGAGGAATAACAGACGAAGGGTAGAGAGGGGCTAACAGACCTGCGTCCTGTTATTATTGTTTGTTACTGTTCTTGTTTTCGCTCCTGCTGCCACTTTACTCTTTCTATTCGATCAATCCTCCTTCTATTTTTCCCCCATCGCCCTCACCTATCCTTCTCACACTCCCACTCAGATGAGCCCTCATCCCACTCATATGACTCGCTCCCACTTACACTCCCACACGCGCTCTCTTTCCTTTCTCTGCTTATTTTGACTTGCGACCAAACCACCAGCTGGCGTTTGCCGCCCTTCGTCTGTGCGTGTGAGCCAGCATTAAGGTGTCGCAGGCAGAGAGTGAGGGAGATGGCTGTACTGATTGATAGGTGAGTGCAGGCAGAGGGACAATAAAAAACACTCACTTTTACACTATTATTATTATGCACATGTGCGTGTGCGGGTGCTTTTTATGCTCAATTAAACAGGATATTGGTACAACTGCAGGACACTCGTCGCGTCAGAGGCCCGACATTAAGATTCAATGATAACGAACGAACGAACAAACCAACAAACACAACACTCATTTATAATTACAGACAAACGAGGAAATTTGTCTAGACAGCCGGTACTGCTACCGCCACGGCCACCGCCACCGCCACCGTCACCGCAACAACAATAATAGCAATCAACTGAAATGCAATTTCCAGGCTCCTACTCAGGTGGCTCCTGCTCCTACGCGACACCCCCACCATTCCGCCCCCAAGTGCTGCTGCTGCTACTTCTGCAATCAACGCTTTACGCTTTAGATTCAATACCCTCGGGCTACAACATAATTTTTCAATTTGCTCCTCAAATATCCCTCCAGCAGTGTGGCGGTAGGAAATCCTCTCCCTAACGAAGTCAATTTGTCAGCCAGACGCCATCCAAAAGAGTGGGAGAGATGGAGATGCTATGCTAATGGACTTTTGCCGAGTACACTTTTTGCAAGGTGAGGCTTAGCCAGAAAACTCTCCTGCGAACTGTAATGCCTCACCTGCATGAATATACCTTGGAACTCTGGAGCTCTGAAAACGATGCCCTTAGGTCCAACTCTTGAAATTAGCTTTATAATATTTTGATCTAACAATTTATTATGCTTATTTTTTTCAAGTTTGTTAATTTCATGGCAATTTATAGAGGTGGGGAAGAGGCAATTCCAATCAAAAGTGGGATGATTAATGAAGACCCCGGACACGTGTACTTGTGGGGGAAGGGGTGTGAAGTTCATTCGAGCATAAGCTATGTATGATGAGAAACACAGAAACCAAAAACCGCAAAACCCCAAATGGTTTGCTGTGCACGTGCTCTCCTCTCTCTTTTTCTTCCTTTTTGATAGATGATAATCTCTAGAGAGCCCACAGAGGAAGGGTGGAGCAGAGCAGGTAGAGAGCGGAAATTGGTTAACGAGTAAACCACCAGTGTGTTCCACACACACACACACAATAAACCTCAAAGGATCTCTCCCCTGCGGAAGGCGCCAGTGCTCTCTTGTGGTGTTGGTTTCTGAGAGAGGGGAAGAACAAACAAGAATAGCGAAGAAGAAGAGCAGGGGAGGGGAGAAGGAGAACATCACTTTTAAAAAGGGAATTTTTATGAATTTGTTAGTACACTCGAGAGTACAGGGCAACAGCAACAACAACAGCAACAGAGGAACAGTGTGCATAGGGAGAGAGAATAACCTTGGATTGCGTTCATCTCAGTTTTTTGATACCTCCGTTATCGTAGGGAGCATAGGGTATGCTCTTTCTTCGTAGATTTTATGTTACAGGCAACCCTATACAAATTTCCCCCCATAGCACACAAAATATTCAAGTCATTGCACTTCGGACTTGCTAGAATCTTGTCCTCTGATCTACCTAATATCATTCCATTCGAAAATAACCGTAGCAAAGGGTAACCTCTAGTCGACTATAGCATTCTATGTTTTTTTGTCCTTTCTTTTCTGTCATTCCAATTTTATTGCGCAGTTCCCCTGTCACAAGAAGGAGGGAGATAGATAAGCAAAGATTTCTTTCAAGATAAAAATGACTGAAATTCTTATGGAAGGCAATTGAAATTGTCAACAAATTATTTATGACGCTCCTTCTCCTATTCTACCTCCCACCCCTTCAGCCATTCTACCCCTAGGTTTCCTTATGTAATCCTCTCATTAGTCAATTGTCAGCAGGATATTCTCTCTTACACTCAAGATTGCTGATGGATTTACAGTGTAAAGTTGAGGAAATTCTCAAACGGTTGACCATGAACTCCCATTGTTGTTGTTTGTTTTAGAAAAGGCGGCTGGAGGGAAAAAGTGTTGAAAATGTTGTTTGGATTGTCTTCAATTTTCTCCATCTCCATCTCCTTTGCTATCTTTTTCCCTTAATTGTTGTTTACTTTTCGAGTGAAAGCCGTCAACACACACGCCCCAACGCCTGAAAATCTCCGCCCATTACATAAGAAACTGTTTCCAATTGAATTTTAAAGCCAAAGAAAATGAGAAACTGTGGCACACTCATCATCATCATGCCCCATGCCCCATTGCCTGTCGGCTTTTGTCTTTTGAAAACTTGGCAAAACAATGAAGGAAGTTGGGAGTTGTGGGGGGAGTTGTTCCCTCAATAAATCTCTTTTCGAATGCAAATGTTGCGTCAGCTTGGAAATCTTCACTTTTCTTCATTTCTCTCCCTCCAACAGCTGGCTCTTCTTTTTGAATTTTCCTTGGCTTTTATTTGGGTTTGTTGATGTTTTCTTGGGTTTATACTTGAACGATTCCCCGGAAGTCGTTTTCTTACAGCAGATCCCCTTTTTTTTTAAACAAGCAGCTGCGGAAGCCAACTTTCTATTGAGGGATCATTTGTGATCTTTTCCTCTCGTTAATTGCCATCACCTATTCATTAATTATTGAATTATAGTTTCTTTATCCCTAATTTCTTTTCATTTGTTTATGGAATCATCGCTCTTTTTGGGGATTTAATCTCCCAAGTCGCTCTATTTTTGGCCTCCCTCCACAATGTTGATGGATTGAAAAATGTATCTTTGAGGATTAGCAGACCCATTAATGTTTATGAAAATGTTCAAAAGGATTTGTCACGCCTAAGATTTATGTCAAATGTTAATGTTTTTGCTTCGCAGAAAAGGATGGTAATGGAGTTGCAGATGGAGTTGAATCTTCTGTAAAATCATTTGACACGAGCCATTAGACCCCAAGAGCCACCATGACGATGACGATGATGATGATGGGTGTGTGTGTTCTGGGAGGAATTATATTCCATAGAATCATGGAGAGGCGCCATTAATCTTATTAAGAGCTCAGAATCGAAGCAGAGTAAGAAATCTTGTAGCAAGAGAAATAATGATTGCTTGGAATTATTTGGGTGAATGTTTTCGAGAGGCAATTAGGGGATTATGGGGGATTAGGATGTGAGATTTGATGACTAAAGGATTATTGAAGTACATTGTTAGAAGCTTTACATTTTGGTTTACATTTTTGGGACTTTGAACCGAATATTCACTGTTGCTCGCATAGGTTTGAATTTCAATAAATCATTTATGAAACCTTTAATCAAAAGCTTACACTAATCAATTTCCCAAATAAAATTTTCTAAAAATTCTCGCATAAATAATTTCTTCCCCCTCTTCACAAAAATATAATCTTAAAAAATTTCCTTAAAAAAAAATGTTTCTTAAAAAGTTCCCATATGTTGGAAGGGGTCTTTTTCTTAAGTCCAGCATATTCCACGCATTTTTCTGCAACCAATAGTTCCCCTACTTTCCCATTCCTTTTTTGTCTTCCCCTACTTTTGTATTCTCTTGTCCCGTCTCTCCTTAAATTTTTACCGCAATTGTTTGTTTCTTACTTGTTTTTCAAATCCCGCAAATGGTTCTTGTTCTTGAAGTGGTTATTGCCGGTCCTTCGGCTGTTGTTGAGGAATAATCCGAAAGTAGTCGATCCGAGTAAAACTTTGACGAAGTCCTTCCTGCAGGACGCTTTAGGTGTGTACACTGTACACAGATTTGTTGTATATTTATTTTGGTTGTTATCTCTTTATTTTGCACTTGAATTTCGTTTGTTTGATTTTCACTTGGCACTTGGCGTTAAATGCACTTTTTATTTGGACGAACGGCAGACAATAGGAATGGAAAAAATTTGATTTCTGCTTTTGATTTTGTGTGTTTTTCGTTTGACTTGATTTGTCTGTTACTGATTTTTGTTTTTATCGCGATTGTCTCTTTCCCTCCCTTTTCAAAAGGAGCAAAGAAACGAAGCGACAGAGGCAGAGGAAAACGCGTGCGAGCGGTCGCGATTCAAACGGTAAAGTGAGAGAATATACTCTCTGACACTCAACAGTATACCTCTCTGTTACAAAATATACCGCAAATATACCGAGGAAAATCATATTCATCAATTTTGATATTCGATTTAATAGTACTAGCTAGCTACGACTTAAACAACTGAAAACATAATTTTATCAGACAGATAAATCAATTTTCTACATTCTGGCTTATTTTAGGGACTCCCATTTATTGGATTACTTTTAAAAGAAGCGTTTAAACAAAGAAGGTCAGAATATGGCTGTACATTTGCTACATGTCAATAAGTTAAATTTATGTTTTCCAAGCTGCTTAAATACCTCAGTAACAATTAATTTACTCGTATGGGCATGTTTTTGGACTAGATTAGGTTCCTCTATATATATATATATATATATATCTCGACACCTTTTGGAATCGGCAAGAACAACATAAACTGCAAAATGAAATGAGATGGGTTTAAAATTTAGTAACATCAGCATCAGCTCATAAATCAAAAATGGTTTTTTAAATCGATCATTGCAAGGATGACAAACATTTCATCATATCCTCCGTTTAAGGAAGGAAGCTTCAAGGGAAATTTCAAATGCTCAGAAAAGTAAAGGTGTGTTTGGCTAAGAGGAAACGTCACAAAATACAGAGCTTCCAAGGATAAAACCCACCTCACCACATAATACACCATGACATTCATGATATATTTAATCCTTCGGGGCTAGGGTAAGCAATGAACGAGGCCCTTAAAAGAAGGTTTGGCCGTTTTAATACTTTGGCCATACCTTGCCATGACCAGTTGAAAGAGAGACAAACGACTCATTTTTGCGCTGAGCTAGCAACATTTTCTGCAACACCACAGAGAGAGCAAGAATTATCTCTCTCTCGCTCTATCTGATTGTCTCTCTTGGATGCATGCAAGCCGGCAGGCTCTCTCTCTCTCTCTCTTTTCTCTCCCTTCTGATTGTGCATTGTGCATGCGAGAGAGAGGTACAGTACAGTACAGTACATGCAAAATACGTTTGTTTTTGTTTTTGTTTTGTTTTGTGTGTGTTTCAAAAAGGAACAACGAGACAGAATGAGAGAGACGGTAGCGGCGGGGGTAAGAGAAAACCGGCTATAGGTACAGGGTATGGCTATCGGGGTGTTAGCGGCAGGACCTCTAAAATGGCAAGTGCTGAAGGATTTGAAGCGCAGTATTTTCGGTTTCTTTTGTGGAAACATCTGTCAGATCGTCGAAATTCCAGGCGCTGATGCGTCATTACTTACAAACGCAACCCTTTTTCAGTGGTAGGGGGGTAGGTGGGGTGTTAGGGTTCACTACCCCTGAGAAAAACAACGTTTTGGAAACAAGACTATGATGATTTTTCACGTCAACTTAGAGAGAATATAAATTGTGATGCGTAACAAATGGGATTTACTACAGATGTTCTATAAAGAGTTCCCAGAATATACGAAAAATACCATCTTTAAACTGTTATAACTCCCAAACTAAAGATCGGAAAAGAATAAGCTATATATCGAATGCTAGAACACACATCTTTAGAAATATTCATAGGGATCAACCAAGCACTAGTAGTATCATAAAATGATTAGAGCAATAAACCCCATGACGACACGTGCTGGGAATCGATTAATAGTTCCTCTTCCACTTCTTCCCTTCCTCTCTTCCTTCCCCTTCCAACGTGTACCCACATGTCAACAACTTTCACGCCTCCTAAATATGTGGGTTCCCTACCCAAAACGTTGGCAGCTACTGAACCATTTCATTAGATATTATGTTAGAGGCGACATCTGCTACCGAAAATGAAGGAAATGCACGAAATAAAAGAGCGATAGAGTTACGTAGTAGCTGCCTTGATGTTTGCCTGTCACGTAGGATCACAGAGGATCGGAGGATCGGATCTCGTTCGAATCATCATTGATGAAACCCACAAAATGTGAGCCGAACACATGTTCGTTTTTTTTCGGTGTCTTTTCTGATATCATGTGTGGGTTGTGGCATATGTATATGTAATTAACAAGTTCTTCCTCTGTTTCTTGTTTTAATTTAAATTTGGATCATCATTTGGCGTGGGCCCAGTAACAGGAAGCGAAATGGAAACCAAAAACGAAACCTTTAAGAAGTTCTTTCTGGAGCGGGAGGGAGACCACGCACCACGACATGTGATGTGTAATTCAATCAAGCAATGATTCAGTTTCAATATGTGCTGCCACTCGAAGTAAACCCCCGAAAAAGCCGCTTAATGTTTGAGCTCAATTATATGGCTTTTCCTTGTGGGGTGGCGGAGGGAAAGCGCTACTTCCACTCCCAATCCCCATTTCGATTTGTCCCCCCACAAACGCCTCAAAGTCGACTACAAATGGTGGAACATGAAAGTTAAGCTTCCTTTTTGTTCCATTGCGAATTTTGTTTTGGACATAAAGAGCAGACCTTTTTTTGTTTTGGGCGTAAAACTACCCACAGTTCGTGCAACACCACTTTCTGTGGTTGCAACCACAAAAGTTACTGTTTTATTTACTCAAACGACAGAAGAAAAATTAGGAAGGGCGAGGCAGGGCAAGGTCTGAGCTCTGTGGTCTGTGGGCATGAGGATGCGGTACGTACATGTTGCAAACAACAGAACAGCAAGTGCTGTAGGTGGGTTTGTGGCGCCCCTTAATGGAACACCCACACGCCTGACATGAAACGCTTTTAAGTGTTCTGTCGGATCTGGAGGTTAAACACCTTAAAGGAGACTCCTGGTCCGTCTGTCTGTCTCGTGTTCTGATGAGTGTGTGAAGGAGTGGAGGGATTGCCAAAGAGGTTTCTTTTGGGGGGACAACATTGTGTGCAGCACTCCTTACTGGAAGGAAGATGTAAAACTTCAGTTAAGGAGACTCCAAGAAAGTCGTGGGATTGATTTCTTTAGAGAGATCTTTCAGTTTTTCGCCCAAACCGAGGATTACAAAACTCTCCAAGGGTCAAATGTTGTCGCTGCCAATCAAAACACATCTCATTGAAGGCCCAGAAGTTGCTGTGACAATCTCACAGATACAAGACCCACAAAGACCCACAAGACCAACAAAAGTGCATAAAAGATCATTGAAGAATGAAAATGAATCTGAAAAGATGCACAAAAAGATACCAGAGGGTGCTGCTGGTTGCTGCCTGCTTGCTGCTGCATCTGTGAGTCAAGTGAGTGGAAATAATCATCCCAGACAATAGAACGAAACAGGGGGCAGGGGAGATATCTCTTTGAATGCTTGCACAGCTACAGCTACCAGATACTTCTTGCTGCATTTTGTGGCATTCAAAGTGCGAACTCAATTGCGGCAAAAGATTGGGGAGAAAGGAAAATGAATGGGGGCTGCTTTCAGAGCTAAAGTTCAAGTCGTTGCACTTTTCTCAAAAGTGTTGCACTCTCCCTCCAATGATTCAATGATTGGAGACTGAAGTCGCAGCGCCACAGAGTCACAGAATTGGCATTCAAATTGTAATGCAAATATCCCCCCAAGCGATGATCCACTGTGCATCCACTGCGATTCTGACATTGAAATGGGCTTCCAGCACAGAGAAAGAGGCTGCCACATAAGCCACCAGCCAGCAGCAGCAGCGGCAGCAGCTGCCCCTCCATAAAGAGCAGAGCCCACAGTTCATGCCGCGTCGTGTGGGCCCCTTGTTTCCCTGTTTTGGGGGTGGGGCACAGCACAGACCTCCCTCCTCTATTAATATCCGACTTCCTACAATTGGGTGAATGCTGCATAAATTGCAACTCAAAGGAAAAGACGGACGACTTTAATGCGTCATAATTGAGGCACAATACAGGGCAGGGCATGAGGATGGTGGCGGCGAGGGATGTGGCTTTGTGGCATGATTTGATTAACCAAGAATGTATCTCAAGGTACAGACACCCACTTCCACGCGTAGATACATGAGATGGAAGCTTTGACTTACTGCCAAATTATTGATTTTCAGCCTACAGTTGCAGCTGTAGTAAATGTATCTGTATCTCACTATATGTGTGTGTATCTTTCGGGTTGTGTGTGGGCGTTTTTTCAAGGAAGCCCTTCATGTTCTTTTTGCTTTATTTTTCCACAATTATCCGCTTAAAAGCCGCTCAAAGCGGGCCAAAGCAACAATGGGCAAAGTATCTTTAAGATGCAGTAGTGCAGCAAAAGTATCTATCAGATGTAATAGTTCTTTCTTTTCAAGTATCTCCAAGTTACAGAACGGCAGGAAAACGTATCTTTGGGACATAATAATGCAGAAAAAATTATCTTGAAGATGCAGAGGTCCAGTAAAAAGTATCTTTTGAATGCAGGAGACCAGGAAAAGTATCTTACAAATGCTTTACTGAAAGGAAAGGAAAGTAAATTAAAGAGCAGTAGTGCTGCTGTTAAAAGTATCTTAGAGATACACTAGCGACGTTAAAGCATCTTTAAGATATGCTATAAAAGTTTCTAGCGATATAATTGAGCGCTGTCGGCGGGCAATCGCAAATAAATTTTCAATTAAACGCCCATCAACGATCCGAAAGCTAGCTATAATTGTCTTATCTCACAGATACAGATACACATAGAGATACAGAAACAAACGATGAGTGCCCCTCCAGATGCAGTTGGAACCTCTAATGAAGATGATGCGGCGCATTTTGTTGGCTGCACGAGCACTGAGACGAAAGCAAGACAAAAGCCCAACAGATGGACAAATGACCAGCGGAGATACATACATACATAAAGTATCTGACGGATACGAGTCGGACAGCTGCTGCTGCCAAGAAAAAGGAGAAACCAATAAAGAGAAGAGCCAGAGGCAGCAACCGACAGGAGATAGGAGGCCAAACAAATAACTGTGCAGCGCGTGCCATTGAACTTTGTGGTCAAACGAAAATAACAGAAAAGAGATACTTTTCATTGTGTCTTGAGTATCCAAAAGATACTTGTGAAATGCCGCATGAATAATTGAACTTTTGCCAATGAAACTCGAGTGTCCATGAAATACGTTTGGATCCCCCAGATACTTTGTGCATCTCACTGATTTCTAAAAGGATTTGAAGAAAATAAATTTTCGGTTTTCAGCGAAAAGATACTTTATAGACAAAAGATACTTTTTTATCTCAACGATTAATGTGAAGCCAATATATAAATTTTCATTAAACAGTTATTTTTTGCACTCAATAGATACTTTTTACATTTGACAGATACTTTTGCATCCCACTGCTTTTTGCATCCAAATCAAAGTGCTCCTCTAAGCCCCCCAGTCAAAAAACCAATTTCCAATTTGACAGATACTTTTTGCATCTTGCAGATACGTTTTGTCATAAGAGAGAAAATCAATTCTTTGAATGCGACACCCGGCGAGGCGACAGCTGTCGCTGGGCAGGAAATTGATCTGCCTGCCTGCCGCAGTAAAAACTTTGAAAGTATCTTATGGATGCAGTGATGCATCGCCATGTCCCCTCCCCACACCCATCCCTGAAGGCTGATTGCAGAAAATCCCAGCCAATAAACAGCCAAGTCGTGCCACAGATGGAAATTGGGGCCACATCCATATTTCCGAGATAGATTTCAAAGGGATTAAGCCTACTCCATCTCTCTGTCTCCGTTTCTCTCTCTCTCTCTCTCTCTGTCTTTCTGGATTGTCTCTTGGTTGGTGGTCTCCCCTGATCCTCTCATTCTTTAATTAAAGTTCTCCTTTTTCTTTCTGTGCCAAATGCCGCTGCGTGGGTGGCTGTCAGGCAGATTCTCCGCCACTTTCTGGACTCTGGTTTCCATTCAGCTTCCATTTATTCGTATTTTGTTTTGTTTTATTTTTTCATTAAAAGATCTTTGGGCGGAAGGGAAAACCGTTGCGCAGGGCATTTAAATGTTAATTCTGTGCCTTCAAACACGTGCAACCAACCACCCCCCGCTTCCGACAAATCCAAAAAGATACAAAAGCTACGTTCGACTCAAGTGTTGAATGTCATTAGCGCTCTGTCGCCTCGGGGTCTCTCGTTGGGGGAGTCGTCGTCGTCGTCATCGTCGTTCGGTCTCGATGGGAAAGCAAAGCCAACAACAACAACAACAACAAAAGTGTTGCACGAACGAGGGAGAGGTTGAAATGGATGTTGGATCCCTAAGTGGCCAAGTTGATGACCGGAAACGACACAGAAACAGTTACATTTGCCGACTGCAGAGTGGACACCGGACAGGGGGCAACACCTGAGGCAAAAGACCCAAAGAAGCAATAAAAAAGAAGTGGCAGAGTGGCAGTGGCAGCGCAAACCTTCTCTAGCTCTCTACGTCCGCCCACACTGCCACACGCTTGACAGCCGGTCTGCGCTGCCTCTGCCTATGCCGATGGTTGCAGCTGCAGCAAAGCAAAGCGCAACGCCGATGCTTTCAAGTTCATTGCAAAAATTGGCAATTCAAGCGCAAAGCAATGGAGAACAGTGTGAGGGGGGGGGGGGTGCATGGAATCGTTGCAGATGCAACGTTTAAAAATAGCCAAACATGTCACCAGAGAGGAGAGGCAGGAGGCAGCAACAGCAACGAACTGACACTGACAGCCAGCAACAGTGGCATCAATGTGGCAATGAGGCAAGGCAGAAAGCCAGCCAGAGTTGCCTCTTGACAAAATCAAAAAGGAAAGGGCACATAATCATCGTTGGGCCTCAAATAAAACGTATCAGCTGATGGAACCTTTGACGTACCCTGGAATAGGAAATTTATAGATTCGGTAAGCTAAAAAGATAATTTCTTTATCCTAAAAACCACATAGCCTACAAATTGTGTGTTCTCTTGGGTAAAACTAACGCCAATCAATCTACATACTCCTTACCACTCTTTTCAGAGATGATTCATTTGCAGACGCCTTGGCTTTAGGTTTGTGAAGCTTTTTCTCCTCCTCCGAATCTGCTTTGATAGAGTGAGCGCACACCAAAACGCCTGGAACTGGTGACAATTAGTGGACGGGGCGAATGGAGTGTAGGAGAGGGGAGTGGAGGAGACAGAGCCAAGCATGAACTGAAAACGACTCCAATCAGCAGAGGAGGATCTGCCCAGAGGAGTAGGTGGATCTGCCAGAAGAGCAAGAGGCACTGAGAGTAACAGAAGAGGTGGAAAAGAGGGCGTCGCTTGTCGTGTGCGTGATGCGCATGAGCGAAGCGTCATTGCGCCTTAAATGGGATCAGAGCAAGGCAGGCGACGGCGGCGCACAGCTTGCAACATAACTGACAAACGAGGGGCACACTGCAGGGGTGGCAAGAGGGGCGGGGGCTCACAAAGAAAGCCAGA